TTAAAGAACGGATAGATATGGTGCTTGAAGACATGGTATAGATGGACTTGGCAGTGATAGGTTAACGGTTGGACTCGATGATCTTAAGGGTCTTTTCCAACCTTGACGATTCTATGATTCTATGACTTCATCCTATTCCCTCCATTTTGTGCCTGTCTTGTGCCATCTGGTGTCCCAAATCCACCAGTGACAACAACAATGAAAGGACCAGGGTGTCTGTGAGTAGTCAAGGCACCGATTACTTATACATTAAGATGTAGTATAATACAGTGCTATGAGGTATTAATCTCCTAAATCAGAGGGTCAGGGCAAACCATGCCGCTAGCATGACTTGTCTTTAAGCACTCCTTATGCGGTTATAAACAACGGAGAATATTTTGACAAGCATTGGAGGACCTTCATGCTAGGTGGAGCTGATCTGTCCTCATCTAATAAATACTGTCAGCTCCCGCCACCCGCTCCTTGGCTTAGCTGTAGTCAGGTGTTGGTCCCCTTCAGCCTTCCCAGGGAAGTATGCCTGGAGCTGAAATGAGTGGGAGTTATATGAAATGATGTCTTTGTTTTGGCCTTGCTCATTCATTTAGGAAGGACATTTTCTGTGTAGGGTTAGTGCATAAAGACCTTGACTATAATTGACAAACTGATGATCAGTTTTGCTAGGGAGGCTGTGGGCCGACACCTAACGCGAGGCACATTTGGAGCATTTTGTTGCCCTTAGGTCACACTGTGTAAGGTAGGGCTGTTGGGAAATCCCCTGTTTGCCTGTCGGCAGGGGCAGGCATGCAGGACCATGCAGAAGCTGCAGTCTGCCAGCGATGCAACCTTGGTGTCTCAGACGAGTAGGTGAGGAACGCCAGAGCCCGAACTCCTGTCCTGCTGCTGTGAGCCAGTGCATTTGAGCTGTGACAAAAAGGTTGTTGGTGATGTAAGCCAATGAAAGCACGACTGACTTAGATGAACCTGTCTCAGGGGAACGGACGTGCTACTCCTTTGGGCACCTTTTGATTTACAGAACCATACAGTATGGTATCAGGTGTGCTGGTGCACCTGCAGCACTCCGAAGATCAAACACAAACGCTATTACTTGCACGTGGTCAGGCTGTAGGGTTACAGGTTTCCTACTGGGACTTCTGTCTTTCCATGTGGACGGTTCGCTGTAGAACTGGTCACCGAAGACCAGCTGCTGCTCAGATAACAAATACTGAACCTCATTTACAGGGAGCGCTGTGAGTTGGGGTGTCAGGGTGAGAATTATTTCAAACATTGCAAAACTATTCACTGAGAATTTATGGGTAAGTATGAGGAAATCTTTACTTTTAAATATTTCACAAATAAAAGAAGAGGTGTATAACACCCTGGTTGCAAAGTTCACCACAGTTTATGACTGAGGCTTATGAAAAAACTATTTCAGATGTTAGAGCAGGAGCAAATGTGCGCATGACCCTCAGAAAAGGCTGAAGCAGGGCTCTGCCTCCTGCGTGTGCAGCGGGCATTGGCTGTGGCCGGGGGCAGGGTGCGGCAGGCCTGCCCGTGCTGTTCCTGCCCTGCCCCTGGCAAACCAGGTGCAGGCTGGAAAGAGGAACAGGCCACAGCCAAGTCCAAGGTCCAGGCAGATAGTGCAACTCGGGCACTGCGCCTTGGCTCTGCCCGTGTGGCATCTCACCAGCGCAGGCCTGCCTGGCTCAGTTGTACGCTGCCCTTGGTCCCGCTGCAGCAAAGAGTCCGTAGGCCACAGAGTAACCGCTCACGCTAACAACTGATGGGATCGTTCAGGGAACCTCCCAGGGGAGCGGGCCGGGGTGTGCTGCCTGGTCAGTGCCCACAGCGGCTCCGTGGCTAGCTCTGGTACCGGGGACCAGGGCCTGTCCTAGCACTGGTGGTGGTGGGCGCCAGAGCCTGCCCTGGTGTGGGTCTGGGGCTCCCTCTGGTCTCCGGGGCAGAGGAGGCCTCTGGAGCCCACTGTGGTACCAGGGGAACGGGGGCGGGGGGCAGCTTCTGGGGACAGCCCAGGCACCAGGGGGCTCCGGGGCCCTCTCCACCCGCGGGCAGACGGATCCGCGCCCGGCCC